AAAAAAAAAGCCTTTCACAATTCATGCAAACTAATGAAGTCATTGTGTAAGGTACATGTAGGTTTGAATCCAAAGCAATGCAAATGTTAGAAACTCTGAATTTGTATGTGATGCCCACAACTTCCTGCATAAAGAGCTCATCTATATTGACAAAATAAGGAATATTCGCTCCAATAAATAACTCTACTTCAGTAAATATGTATATAATTCATTACAAGAAATTAAGACCTTATCAAGACAACATTATTTTCAGCTTAGTTGGACCTAACTGAGAGTAATGAGATCTTATCTATATTCAGCTTTTGCAGTGTTTAGATAGGATTGCCATAAGCATATTGATATAGTTCCAAGCAGTTCACTTTAACTTATTTCTTTATGCCATTTTCCAGAAAGAAAAAAATACCATCAAGAACACTTAATCACATGCAATGACAAAAATGCTAAAAAGTGATGCAGTACCTTCTCGAAACCACCTAAAATAATTATACATTACAACGGCAGCGATGAATGTTTTTCCAAGCCCAGTAGCTAATGCCACTAAGGTATAGGAATATAGTGCAGTCCTCGTGATTTCGAATTGATAATCCCGACCGGGAAGATTTGCTGCAATAAAAAGAATTATGAATAAAATTTTATTCTATAAGCACATAAGAAATAGTACAGTTATTGGTTATAAAAAAAGAAATAGTACAGTTATTCAAGAAATGAGTAACATCAAATTCATAAGTGATGCATATCCCAAACCAAATTAATTAAATGATAACACTTAGTGTGACATTACTCTTGTTCTCTAACGGTGCAATCCAAATGTTGTGGTCGATAGAAGGATGAAGCAAAGTGAGTAGAAATGTACATCAGTCCGAAGGGGGTCACATGTATATCATCCGTATAAGTACTTATACAACATCCATGTGGATATGGGACTGAGCAGACCGTGGAGGGCAGACAGTGGCCATCTTGAGGTTTTTGTTGTAACTCAAGATTATGAGGCACAATTCGACAGCATAATTAAAGAAGAGAAAACTGACTAAGAAAAAGAGCAAAGAACCTGGATAAATCCAAGTTTTGGCTGCCATCAAATCAAGTGGAACAAAGCAAACCCTGTCATCCCCCTCATTACCAAACTCCTCTTTTCTGACTCCAACGCCGTTTGGATTGTGGGGTTCGGTTTCGGCATTCTTAACCTTAGGCGGAAATCCCATAAACATATCAAGAGTCGACTGCTTCCCAGACGCAAGGCCACCACCATTAGGGGTTTTGAGCGTTTTCCTATTTGAGATGGAAGTCGAAGTCGAAGTCGCAACTCCATCAGGAGACGAAGCGAATGTCCCATAACGGGAAGGGCGACGCCATTGGCCTCACAAGCCACATCGATCTCTCTCACAGCTGCGTCCCAGTCAAATTCCTGAATAATGAAAAAGTAAGATTTAGAGATAGAAATCGAAGTGTTTGGAGAAGAAAGAATCAGGGTTTCAAGAAACAGTTTACATCGTCGTCGTCGATAATCTCAAGAGCGGCGGCGGACGAAGAGGCCATGGCGAACGGGAAATCTTGGGGAAAATATATGTAAAATTTGTTTATTCTTGGGGAAATCAAGCCCTTCTCTTACTCTCTTTATCCCCACTTCATTCAACCCTAACACCCAAAGATAACATTTTAATCTCGTTTCTTTTTTATTTCGATTAGCATTCTTCTTCTGCCTAGTGTTCTTTGATTTACATTTTTTTATCTTAACTCCAATTTGAATGATGAAGACATCCCAATATTGATCCTATTTATTTAAAGGCTCAACCTACCCATCCTTAGTCATTTATTTGTTCCTCATCAACATGCTCTAAATTTGCACCTTTCCATGTGCAAAGCAACAAACCTGAAACCAATGATTTGCTCAGAAAGATGTAGAAACAAAAAAATTAAGACATTAGCGGAAAGCACACAACACATAGGAGTGACATAACCTATGCAGTATATCAGTGAAGGTTCTGTCAAAGAAGTTGTGTCCCATGGATATGCTGGGATCAAATGGAGGGCCATCTACTGCCATGGTATCATGTTAACTAAAAAAAAAACATAGAGAAAAAAAGTCAATATCAGAAGGAAAATAATCAAGAAGCAATAAAATGTTTAAACTCAAAATAGTTTTGTCACTTTTCTTCACCCATGAGATGTGATATCATGCGAGTAATATGATTTTTTGGACTGGAATACAAATCCTCTTTTTTTTTGCTAATTGAACCCCTGATGATGGGCGCCATGCCTAGACTCTGAATATCACTATTAATATAATAAACACTCCTACGAAATCCAACACTTTACGAAGACAAAGTGTAAAAGAGGTTAAAGAAAATGAACAAAATTACTCTGAAATTCTTAGAAAATCAACCGATTGCACCATGTCCGAACTAATTGAGATCCAATTTTCCTCTCCAGACTCGAATGGCAATTACCTGAAACATCAACAATTTTCACGAATAGGAGTAATTAGAATATACTCCCTCCGTCCGCCTAAGATGTTCTCTCTTTGACTTTTGGTGGTTTTTAAGGAGAGTTGAAAAAAGGTGAAAGTTTACCATAATACCCTTAATGAAAAATGGGTGGAGTGTATTAAATGAGGTGGGTGAGGTGTAATAAATAAAGTAAGTCGGGGTAGTTGTGGTATTTTACTTGTTAAAAAATGAAATGAGAAGATCTATTGTGGACAAAAAAAGGGCTATTGGGAAGATCTATGGTGGACAGAGGGAGTAATACGAGTAAAAAACTACTCCGTAAGTATGTTTGGAGTAGCTGAAGAAAATCTTGGGCTTTTTTAGGTTTGGAAATTCGATGTTATGCCACCGAGCTAACCTCGATGCGCGATGCGCTATTGATGCGCGCGCATCACGAACACAATGCGCACATTGAGGCATAAGTAGCATAGCATCTCTAAAAGAGTAATAGTGCATATAAAATGTTGAAAAGCATACGAAAACCTTAGAAAGCAACAAAGAATCAAAGTATAGACTTCATGGATTTTGTTACAAATTAGGCAAATAGTGTCATGCCTATTTGTTTTTGTGACCCTTGAAACATACTTCCATCTGGGATCATTAGACCCCAAAATTTAGAGATTCTTACATTCTTGAAACTTGAAAGAGTGTACAAAATATAAATATAAATACAAAAAAAGGTGAAAAGGGGGGAAACCTCACAAAAAACTGAAATAAATATTGTGAAAACAAATAATAAAAGGAGCTACTAACTTACTAAACTTATTCTCAAACCTCAAATACTAGTATACTACATCAATTTTATTCTCAAACCCGACAAATATATTTAAATTCAAAGCAAAATTGCAAGATAAATAAAAAACTGAAATAAATAGTAAGTTTAATTTCAGTTTTTTTTCACAAATGTCAAGCGCATACAAAAATCAAAAGCAATTGAAGTTAAAAATAAAGAATAAATAAATAAAGAGGGTCTTCAGATCTGGAATGTGACTTCAACGCAGTCCAAGTCGACAAGTGATGGAGTTCTAGGGTTTGTTTAAAAAATAAATGAAATTTGGGTCGCTCTTATCGGGTCGGCTCCTGAAAAAACATCGTCTACTTCGATCAGCGGTCAATTACTCTAGGCGACATCTTTCCGACAGCAACCATAGAAAGCATTATGTGCCAATTAACCATAAACTTCAACCACCCATATTTCACTTTCTTAAGCTCTATGCTCAATCAAAATAAACATAAATTGGGATGGAGAGGGTATAAGTTTATAATATCATATTGTAGATGCTATAAAGGGATTTTATTATCTTCAAAAGTATTAGGGTTTAAAATTTAAGTCAAAGTAGTCCCATGATTCACATATAGACTCCTCAGATTTGGTTTGTTGGTTATATGTCTTACTTCCCAATAGGAAGGTTCTTATGTCATTCCTTATCCATCATCCCATCTTAAAGAGAACGGTATAAACAAAAGACGCTAATACAGTATTCCTTTAAGAACATAGCATCATCGTTCAAACATTAAGTCTAAAAGCATTTAAAAAATTAAAGCTTAGAAACCTCTCTGTAAGACAGTCCCCAATGGGAATTGGGGTTTAAATATCCTAATTGAATGTTAATAAGGCAAACAGTGAAAAAAATTGAAAAAACAAAAGAAAGCATGTAGGTAGCTTCTCTGTGGAACTTCCTTCTCCATCATACTTGTGTTTCCACAATCACTATCTCCGGATTCTACTCTCTCCTCCTTTCTACTTTATAATTTTTTATTATATTCTACAATCTCTAAACCTGCCATTGAGGGTATTCTAAGACTAACACAAATTTTGATTCACTTAATTGCAAGTATATACTATCATGAATCTATTGTTAAAAGGAAAACAAATCAGAAAGTAAAATTAACCAGAAAGGATGTCCCTCTCCAGCACTTGTGGAGTGACAAAGAAAACTCGTTTTTCTTTCCAAAAGCTAGCTCTTCTAATAGGACTTGTTTGACCAGTAAGATCAATCGCACACTCCTGCATTCCATTTAGTAAAAACTGTCTCAGAGTTTGTAAATATGTAAACATATTGTGTCCACAAATAATCTAAAGGAAACAATGTTTTAGCTTCCCTTCCTTCTTATGTTTTATGAAGTTTTGGTTAGTAAGATCTTGTTCTTTTTGTCTAATCTAATTAGACCTGATCTGATTATATTAAGATTTGACCCCTAATTGTAGTTATATTTAAAGTTGTTTTTTATCTCATTTGGTCTAATCTGGTTTGATAGGATTCTAGTAAGAATAAGTAATCAGAATAAGTTGAAGAGAACAAGCTCTAAATGCATCTGTGCATCAAGGGTCTAAAAGAAACTGCCTTTTTGTTTTACCGGGGTAAGGTTGTGCACATCTTGACCTCCAGGCCCCAACATAATTAGAATTATACTAGGTTTGTTGTTATTGTGTCCACAAACTATAAACTAGAATCACAAAGGTACAGTCAGTCACAAAAAAGAGGGCTAGAAAGCCTCACCTGTGGTATATCTACAATGTTATGGCATGCTTCAATCTGTTGCAAAACTAGGGGCTTAGAAGGAGCTGCAAAAACTATTTTTCCTGCCATGATGTCACATACACAAAGTAAATACTATATTTTTGGTATGCTTAAGCTTTTTCCTCAACCAACAAAGTCAAAAGCACACAACTAAGAGGTTAAAGAGGGTTATGATGTTACAGTTGTTCCTTTTGGATAGAAACTGCTAGAATAAAAACATAAATTTCAAAAAAAAAAAGCCTTTCACAATTCATGCAAACTAATGAAGTCATTGTGTAAGGTACATGTAGGTTTGAATCCAAAGCAATGCAAATGTTAGAAACTCTGAATTTGTATGTGATGCCCACAACTTCCTGCATAAAGAGCTCATCTATATTGACAAAATAAGGAATATTCGCTCCAATAAATAACTCTACTTCAGTAAATATGTATATAATTCATTACAAGAAATTAAGACCTTATCAAGACAACATTATTTTCAGCTTAGTTGGACCTTACTGAGAGTAATGAGATCTTATCTATATTCAGCTTTTGCAGTGTTTAGATAGGATTGCCATAAGCATATTGATATAGTTCCAAGCAGTTCACTTTAACTTATTTCTTTATGCCATTTTCCAGAAAGAAAAAAATACCATCAAGAACACTTAATCACATGCAATGACAAAAATGCTAAAAAGTGATG